TGATCTCAATGGCATCTGTATGCATCACCTTGATGCTCGGGTAGGAACTAGGACGTGGGATTTCCTCACGTGATTCTGACAGGGGAAGACAGGGGAACGTCAATGCCTTCACTGTAGGGAAAACAAGACCTAGAACAGAGGATGGAACCAGGCCTCGAATCCAAGTCAGGAAATGCTTGTCTTCCAGCCACGACAAGTGTCCGTGTAGAGAGTCTGGGGACCAGGAGCTGCCGGTGCTCCTGGCTACTAGAGCCTGTTTTGGTCTGCTGCTGTGTCTCCAGTGCCAGCCAGAGTGGCTACCTCGGCAGTCACACCATCGTGTGCTCAGAAAGGCCCACACTTGGTTTAATGTTCTGCTGTTACCAACTGGAAATCCCTGATAAATTTGCCTTTAAAAAAAAAAAAAAGAAAAGAAAATGTATTGTGGTGAAATACACAGAATATAAACTTTGCCATTTTTTTTTAAACTTTGCCATTTTTCAGTGGATAGTTGGTATCATTAAGTACATTCACAGTGTTATATGGCTATCATCACTATGTATTTCCAGACGATGTTCTCATCGTCCCAACCAGAAACTCTGAACCTGTCTCTCCCCATTCCCCTCCCAGCCCTCAGCCTCTAGGCGTCCCTATTCCACCTCTGTCTCTATAAACGTTACTATACTAGGAACCTCATATGAGTGGAATCATTCAGGATTTGTCTTTTTGTGTCTGGCTTATTTCACTCCGAATAATGTCTTCAAGTTTCATCCATATTGTAGCGTGTGTCAGAATGTCCTTCCTTTCTAAGCCAGAATCATCTTCCGTTGCGTGACTTACCGTATTTCATTTCTCAGTTCACCTGTCAGCAGACGTGTGGATTTCCATTTTGGTTTTGGCTATTGGGCACAACGTCGCTATAAACAGCAGCATATACGTTGGTTTTCATTTATTTTTTTAAAAACAGAAGATACACTAATAAATGGAGTGTGGTAGGTTCAAAACCTTCAAAACCCAAAGCCAGTGGGAAGAAAATAGCAAGAAGGATAGTGGGTGGTTAAAATATAGGGAAACTTGCTCAAGGGCAAGGTTGTTTCCTGGTTGACTTTCTTCCTTGTTCATTTTCGTCAAGCTGTTTGTCCTTAACCAGGGTTCAGACACCTTGTTGGTTAAATAATAGCTTTGGGTAGGGGGAGAGAAACATTAAATGTATCTACTGACTATAAATGTATCCCAATTTCAGAAATGCTTCACGTGGATAATTATGAAAGCTGGAGGACGTTCACCACACTGTACTTTAAGATCTGAAATTTTAATAAGAAAAAAAGAAATGATTTGGAAAATTTAAAAAGTGTATCTTGAAGGAGAGCAAAGAGGGTCCATCCTATTTCCCGACTCAGGCCACCATTCCCGACGAGTCTCCATCGCAAGGGTTGGAAGTGTGAGACCTGGTTCCTGTCCGTGGGTCCTGTCTGTACTGGGTCCCCCTGGAAGGCCTCCCGGGGGCCAGAAGGTTTGTAAGCAAGTTGCCATGGAATTATTCCGTTCCTCTCCACGGCTGGCCCCATACACTGAACTGAACTGAATTCCAGTGCAATTAGCCTCCTGGATGGAGAAGCAAGAAGAGGAGGGGGAGCCCCCAGCTTTGCTCTTGGGAAGGGATTCTGTCTCCTGCTACCCCAGGAGGGCCGGAAAGGGTGGAGCTGCCTGGGAGAAGGGGGACCCACACTGTAAACTGATGCTTCCTTCAATCCCCAGCCCCCACCCTTCCTTATATTTGGAATTGTAACAAAAGAAGGAACATTAAACCAGATAGTAATACTCTGCCAGCTTTCTTGTGGTCCAGGAACATCTGCTTGAGAAACTACACATTGTGGGGTGAGTCACTGGGGTCCGGCCTGCTCATTGGCTGAGACAATCTCCTGATGCTGGAGGAAAAACTCGTCTTTCTCCCATTGGAAGGGAACAAACCCAGGGTGTCCTGCAACTGCGTGGCTCGGGTGATGGTGTCGTCCACTGCTCCAACTGCCGTCTTTCCGTGTCTCTCCCTGGCCGTGTGCACGGCCTCCTGAGACCGCTAAGTTTGGAAAAGGCTGGGAAAACAAGAGACGCAGTTGCAGTCTTGCCAACAAAGTCTGTGCATGAGTGTCTGCTGCTTAAAGAACGGGCCCCAAACCCCACGCCTGGTTTAAATGAGCGGTCCCTCCTGGGGATGTCAGTCTTGATGTGATTGAAAACCTGTGATGGCTTCTTAATCCTGCAATAAAAAATCACACTTTCCAAGGGAGCAGCAGCCCACTCCTGGTTTGGATCTGAGGACACGGGCCTGGCAGGTGGCTCCCCAAGCAGCTCAGCGAGGGCAGAGCTCCAAGACTGGTGTGTGGCTTATTGTGGGAAAGGCAGTGCCAGCCCCTGAGCCGCGTGGCCCTGGGCAGGACACTTCCTCTCTTGGTCCTCAGTGTCCCCATCGGTGAAATGCTTGACTCTGAAGAACTTGTCCAGGCAAGAATTTCAGGGAGACAAAGCCAAGACATCGCTGGCGCTCTCTCTTCAACCTCTACAAGAACTGCCCCATTCTCTCAGGGAAAAAAAAGGGGGGGGTGGGAGGAACAAAATGGCCCATGGTCATGGAATGGATCTTTGCTGGTCCGTATCAGGCAGGAACCCCGGCAGAAAGGAACAGCCCTGAGCTGCCCTCTCTCTGCCCTGACCAGCGGTCTTCCAACCTTTCACTTCACATTCTGGCAAAATAGAGTGGGTGGGAGTTTAGGGGTTCTGAGTTCAGCCCTGTCCGTTGCTGTGCTCAGTCCCCAAGTCTGTCTGAGCCTGTGCTCTCACCTGTGAAATGCTGGGGGGGTGGGGGGTGGGGGGAGGGGAGGTGGGGCAGAGCGGAACATTCCTGTTCTAATGGTATTGTGAGAATCGAATATGAAAGCGCTTTTAAAAGGATAAAGTTCCACTCCTGTTTAAAGGATTATTATTTACTTAATTCCTTGAAAGAAGATCACAGTGAGAACTTTCTCTGTTGGGGTGGGGTGAGGGGATGGAGTTTTCTGGGGATAATTTCAACATCATCTGGTGGGACATTTACACCTGGCCTAGCTAGTCAGTAAACCTTTATCCCGGAGACATTTTCAGCCAGATCTCACTACTCTGTAAATGCGCCAAAATATGGCCTTAGTGTACTGGCCTAAAATATTTCCAGGTTGGTTTTTTACTCACAGCAGTCTCGGGCTGTTAGCCCAAAGCCTGCCAATGCCAAACTCAAATTTTTACACACCCAACTTCTTAAAATATAACCCAAATAAGTATATTTTTAGCTACTTAGGGCCTACCTATTTTTCATACCCCATGAAACTGCACCCAATGTCTGCTCACCACAAATAAGAAAAATCCTGTGAAAGATCACCACATCGCGGCTGCCTTCTGGAACTCCCTGACCCGGAGACTACCCCATCCTTGCCACCTGGGTACATAAGTGTCCTTTCTGCCCCCAGGAGTTCGCATGGTCTGGTGACCCTCTTGTGGTTGGCTTCGTGCCTCTGTCTCTGGAAGGTCTCTTGCTGGGATAACCTTTCCTTCTGCTTCCGCATTGTCCATCCAGCACCATCCAGTGAGGCTTGCTGCGTGTCACTGCTCTGTGGTCCTGTGTCTTCCTTGACCATCCCTGAATTCCTCAGACTTACCACTCACTCAGCCTGTTCCTGAGTCAGAAAACCTCAGACATTTTTCCAGCGGCTCAGCTTCAACGTTTGTGCAAACATCAGCAAACCTCCTAAGTCTGGAAATTCTCCGCTCGGAGCCATGCTCCTCCTCAGTGCTCAGGGCCTTCCGAACTGGCAGCAGCTCCTGAGAAACCAGGGGGCAACACCCCAAACCCAACCCAAATGTCTGGGCTTCAGGCATGCCATGACACCTGTGATCAGACCCGTGTGCCTGGAGGTGGGCACGGCTGCACTCTGGGCAGGGATGGGGTTGGAAGGGAACCTGGCAGGTGATTTACCCAAAAGAGATGACTGAGGAGAGAGAGAGAGCTGGAGCTGAAGGGCCCCAGAGAGAATAAGAGCAGCTTCATTTCACAGAAAAGGAAATTGAAGTCTGGGAAGTTGTGCGAGTGACTTGCGTGGCTCACAAACTAATTTCCGGCAGAATGGGGGCGCGGAATCCACGGCTTTTCAACCACATGCAGCTGCATCTTGCACAGAGCCAGGCTGTACCCGCGGGCACAACGTGCCAGGAGAAGGGTGCCTGCAGACGGGCCGTTACCTTCATCTTACAGCTCTAACACCTGAGCATCTCCTTCCCCAGCCCCCGTGACTGGTTCGGGGCGAGAAGCATGCCGGCAGAGCCTACGGTCATCAATATCACTTTTGCTGGAACAGCGGGAAGAGTGTGTGTGTTCTCCTAGCTGGCCACAAACCTGGACAGCGTGGGCGAGACCTGCCATCATCCAACCCTTCTCTCACACAGACGGCGAAGCGATTCCATCCAGAGAACAAGAGGTAGAGACTGAATCCTGGGAATATTGTTTGCGCGCCTGGATGAAGCTTCACCTGAAGTCCTCCTGGGCTCTTTGGTCAGGAAAGCCCTTTCCTACATAATACATTTGAGTCAGCTTTTCTACCCTTTTGAGCTCACACTGGGGCGTCAAATTGGCCATCTCCCTGCTGTTATTTTCTGCAAATATTCTTTGGCCATTGTCCTTCTGAGCACAGTACTCATGCTGGTGCGTCTCCTGCCAGAGCCCACCTGAGATGTTCCCAAAGTTCAGCTTAGCACCACAGACGTTTACTGGACTTTTACTGTCTGCCGGGCCATGTTGTTAGGCTTTGGGAGAGAAACAAAGATTAGAATACAGTTAGTGCTTTCCAGAAATTTATAGATTCATGGGACTCCTGAGTGGCCCAGTCGGTTAAGCACCTGCCTTCCGCTCATGTTGTGATCCCACGGTCCTGGGATCGAGCCCCACATTGGGCTACTTACTCAGTGGGATGCCTGCTTCTCCCTCTCCCTTTGCCTGTCGCTCCCCCTGCTTGTGTTCTCTCTCTTGCTAATCTCTGTCAAATAAATAAATAAAATCTTAAAAAAAAAATTTATAGATTCTGAACTTGTTATTAAGTGAACCACAACACACAGTGCTATGTGCACTTAGCCTAAGTCCACGCAAGGCCCAGAGAGAACATCTAGAGAGAAGGAACTCTGTGTGGGAGGCGGAGGGAGGCTATCCGAACAGGACTCTGAATGAGGCGAGGTCCTTGTGGTGTGGACAGTTGTTCCCCAAAATCAGTTGGCCCTGCAGTGAGGAACTGTAGGTCTTTAGCCCTCATCCCAATGGGCTAGTTCTTTCCAGTGAATGATGCCTTCTGTAGAGAAACTGGGACCAGGTTCCTCGGGACTGAGCTGAGGGCCATTTGGCCATTTGAACCACTCTGGGGCTTTCAGGTTGGAGAAGAGAGAAATACATTCAAATGTATATTTCGGGAGCTTGAAATTCATATTCGTTTACCTGAGGATTCATCCATGGAAAATAGAAAAGAAAAGAAAAGAAAAGAAAAGAAGAAAGCATTGCATTTATTTGGGAGGTCTTAGAAACTGAGACAGGACCAAGTATAGGTAGACTTTACTGGATCTTTTCTTTCTAAGGCCCTGGTGAGCTGCCTCACCTTCCCTCCTGCCATACCTGCTTCCCTGTCCCAGCCACACATGAAGCTTGAGCGGTACTGAACTGCTTCCTGCTTCCAGAAAACACTGATTCTCTTACCTCCACATTGCCCTCTTCCGGGAATACCTCCCTCTTGGTCACCAACGAGGGAACTTCTCATCCTTTACTCCCCACCTAGAACCTTCCCACCCCTTCCTGGGACACCTATGTATTCCTTCTCCCCTATTCCCACAATCCACTATACACCCTCTGTGGGGAAAAGGGAAGAAGGGTTGAGACCTTTCAAATCAGGAAGGTGTGAAACTGAGAACATCGCAAGGCTCCACAGGGCCGGGGAATCTTAGTCAGACAGAACTGGTCTTTTCTCCCCACCACTGAGCATCAGCTCTATCACCCACCCAGGGCTCTACTTAGAATGACATCATCTGTGTCCTGAGATGATGTCAAGGCCCTTCTGGCTTAGGACTTAGCCCAGCTGGACAACCCCTGCCTAACTGCTGAAACCATCCCTAAGCCACCTGTTACTGCAACATCATAGTCATCATTAGATTATGTTGTTTTTGGCATCAGGAATGTTCCCCCTCTGGATTACAAGATCCTTAGGAGGGGGACTATGTGTTTTCATCTTTCTGTCCTTGAGGCAGAGCACAGAACTTAGCTTATAGGCAGCATTCAATACATGTACACAGAACGAGTCAGTCAGTGAATAAATACAGGAATGAATGAATGAATCTCTCCCGTGGATGGAGACTGGTGATAAAAAGAAAAATAATAGGTCCCAATCAGCCTCACAATGGGTTTTCAAAGCCTTATCTTCCCAACCTGAAAAAATAAGGAGAGTGCACACCCATAGCCATGCTTCAAAATATCCATTCTAAGAGCACCGAACTTTCTTAGAATGTCAAGTTTCCCCAAGGAAATCTGAGCCTCTTGAAAACCCTTTAGTTTGAGGATTCCTGTCAGAATCATGCACAGTCTAGAGGATCAAGTGCCGCCCTCCCAAACCCTTCTTAACGCAAAGGCTCTTTTCATTGGGGGACCTACGCTAGTTAGGGAAGAACTGGACACTCCATCCAGTTCTCTTTCTAGAAGACCACATTGCCCCATCACACTGATGATACCTGGAGGACAGCAGACGTTTGAAATATGCCAAGTAACTCCATAGACATGGGTGCCATTGCCAGCCACAGAGGAGACCGTAACTAGAGGGGATAAGGGAAGTCGGTTGAGCTCCCTGGAGATATAAAACCAAGAGACAGACTACTGGGACTTCTTGGAACCTGTTTGGGGTGAAAAGTCAGAGAAAGTAAAAAATGAAAATGAAAGAAATGAAGAATTTGAAAAGAGGTTATTACTAGAATCTAGCCAGTTGGTTTCCTGCTCGGTTTCCTGCTCGGTTTCCTTCCAGCAGCCATGGCCACGAAGTGGCTGTTGGCTAAGGAGGCTCGCTTGGGGGAGCACAGGGGGATGGGAGGTTGGGCTTGTAGGGCTTGGGGTCATTGCTTTCAAAGTTAAGAGGGCAGGAGGCTATTTCTCCTCGATGTGAACTCCTAAGTCCATTGGACCCTGTTGAAGAACTGGTGGAAGAGGAAGGTGGGCTGCCCTGGAAAGATTCTAAAATATGGCAGTGTGTGACAGATGCAGAATAAGTTTCAGCATCCAAGAGGCCTGCTTTTCCACCTCATGATTGAGACCAGGAGCTGTTCTCAAGAATGCAGAGAACCAGAGAAAAATTTAGTGTCAGATGTTCACTCCAGAAATGGAGGAGTTTAGTTTTCCTGGTTCTGTGACCCCAAGAGATTTTGGCTACAGCGGTATTTTTGAAGGCGTGTTTCTGTGGTTAGACGTTAGAATTCCGAGTGCAGAGGTTAAGCACATTTCTTTCAGGCTGCATGTAGCAGACACTATTAGTTGGCCATCCCTCAAGGCTCTCCAAACCCCTTCTTCCTTTGTTCTTTCTTGCAGGTAGGTGGGACACATGACCCTGTTCTAGCCCATGAGATATATATGGAAGCCTACAAAGGTAGAAGCCAAGGGGTTCTGAGGAAACTCAGGATTCTATGATAAACAAAACAGAGAGTCAACCTTGGATTTTCCCTTCCTCCTTCCTCTACCTGCTGTAAATACAGATGTGATGGCGAGAGCAGCAGCAACTACCATGTAAGGGGAGATGTGAGGGGAGATCAAGAAAATGGCAGTGACATCTGCTCTGGCGTGACCAGACCACTGAACCAAGGTCACAACCACCTCTCTCCAGGCTTCTTATTTAGAAGGAAAAAAAAAAAAAGGCAAAGCCCTATATTTGAGTTTTCTGCTTTTTGCTGTTGAATGCGATCCTAACTGATCCCCAGGACTTCTCAGTGCACTTCGTATGCCAGTGTGCATTGCAAATCTCCAAGAAGGGGGGAACATAGGCAGTAATTCCAAATGTATTTAACTGAAGTATTATTTAAAAAAAATAATTTTGGTGTGGGACTAGTGTTTCTTTTTTTTTAAGATTTTATTTATTTATTGGACAGAGTGTGAGAGAGAGGGATCACAAGTAGGGGGAGGGGCAGCGGGGAGAAGCAGACTTCCCACTGAGCAGGGAACCCAATGTGGAACTCGATCCCACAACCCCGGACCCCAGGATCATGACCTGAGCCGAAGGTAGCCGCTTAACTGACAGAGCCACCCAGGCATCCTGGGACTAGTGTTTCAGGTGTACTCTTTGGGAAACTCTGGGCTAGGGGATCACAGGCCTGGTGGGTCTGTCTGTGACAGACAGACAGACCCTAGGGTCCCTGCCATGTTCGTGCCCAGCTTCATCCCCTCCCTTTGGGAGTGGGTGCCACCTGTGACTTGCCTCTAACCAGTAGTCTATGGCAAGTGACACTCCCACGATGATGTGACAATTACGTAGAGAGGGAAGTGTAATTTCTACTCTCTCACCTATCTGCTCTTCTGGAAATCTCACAGGAAGGCCTATATTTTGAACGTCAAATGAGGACGGATAAGGATGACAGATAACCAAAACAGCAGGGAACCGGCCTCTCCACTCTGAAGGGTACAATCTAGTCTTTAAGAACATTGTCTGTACCCTGTAGTGAGAGGACAACCAGTTTCTCTCTAACTAGAGGAAACATGGAATGAACTGTCCATTTGAGGCTACTTGGCGTTTCTAATGACTCGAAGGTCAGAACAGCATGTGCTTGGAGCTGTTCCATTTGAGGGTTTCTATTTTCAAGCTCTTTGCTTGCTAGATTAGAACATCTTATTGGAAAAAAACGTCCTCACAGAGGGGTGCCTGGGTGGCTCAGTCGGTTACGCATCTGCCTTCGGCTCAGGCCATGATCCCAGAGACCCAGGACTGAGCCCTGTGTGGGACTCCCTGCTCGGCGGGGAGTCTGCTTCTCCCACTGCTTCTCCCACTGCTTCTCACCCCGCTCATGCTCTCTCTCTCTCAAATAAAGAAATACAATCTTTAAAAGAAAAATAAAAAGAAAATACCCTCACAGAAAAGTAGGTGGGTCCCAGGGGAGAGCCTCGGCCTTATCAATTGTAGACCCTGTACACCAGAACCAGCCTACAAGCTGGAGTTTTATCCTGGGAGCTGGCCCTTTCCCAGGTGTGTTTGTTTTCTCGATAACAGTTAGCACAAATGCGGCATTTATTTTTTTTTTTAAGATTTTATTTATTTGAGAGAGAGAGAGAGGAGCAGAAAGACAAGCAGACTCTGCACTGAGCAGGGAGCCCAACGTGGGGCTCAATCCCAGGACCCTGAGATCATGACCTGAGCCAAAATCGAGTCAGACGCTTGGGACGCCTGGGTGGCTCAGTCAGTTAAGCGGCTGCCTTTGGCTCAGGCTGTGATCGCAGTGTGTTGGGACTGAGTCCAGCATCGGGCTCCTTGCTCCACGGAAAGCCTGCTTCTCACTCTGCCTCTGCCTGCCACTCTGCCTGCTTACGCTCTCTCACTCGAACAAATAAATAAATAAATAAAATCTTAAAAAAAAAAAAAAAGAGTCAGATGCTTAACCAACTGAGTCACTCAGGTGCCCCACGAACGCCGCACATTTATTATCTCACAGCTTCCAGGGATGAGAAATCAGTACAGCGTGGCACGTCAGTGGCTCAGTCAGTTAAGCATCTGCCTTGGGCTCAGGTCATGATCCCAGGGTCCAGGGATGGAGCCCCGCCTCAGGCTCCCTGCTCAGCGGACAGTCTGCTTCTCCTTCACCCACCCCCCCTGCTTGTTCCCTCTCTTGCTGTGTCTCTCTCTGTCAAATAAATAAACTCTTAGAAAGAAATAAAAAAAAGAAAGAAAGAAAAAAAAAAAGATCCGTACACTTTAGCCGTTCTGCTCTGGATCGGTGGGTGTCCTGTGGCAGCAATAAAGTCAGTGGGACGGCGATGTTTCACCTGCGGCCTGGGGTCCTCTTCCAAGCCCATGTGGTTTTTGGCAGAATCCAGTTCCCAGTGCCTGTGGGACTGTGGCGCTTAGCTCCTAGGGGCCACCATAGTTCCGGCCACGTGACCCTCTCCATAGGCGCTTCACAAACGGCAGCTTACTTATTCAAGATCAGCAGGAGACTCTATCAGCTCCTTGTGGTTCAGTCAAGCGATGTTCATGGAGCACGGTCCATGTGGCCATTCGTTCTGGCTCCTCAGGTTAGTCCTAGAGGAACAGAGCCTTCCTACTTGTGAGTTTCTCTTCCTTGCCTTCCTCAGACAGCGGGATCCCCCATAAACCATTTCTATACGATTATGGACATTTCTGGGCTCTGCCATCACCATGAGGGAGTTTCTCTGACGTCATCCAAGACATTGTGGGTATTTTAAGTTTCAAGATCATTTTACATCCTTCAAGCATAGGAGTAGCTTCAATTAATAATGTCCAATAGCAAGGTAGTAAATGTCTCTCAAATTGAAATTCCCGGGGCACCTGGGTGGCTCAGTGGGTTAAAGCCTCTGCCTTGGGCTCAGTCATGATCTCAGGGTCCTGGGATGGAGCCCTCTTCAGGCTCTTTGCTCAGCGGGGAGCCTGCTACCCGCCCCCCCCCCCCCCCCGCCTCTCTGCCTACTTGTGATCTTTCCCTTCCAGAACCACTCCTGGAATTTCCACGTGTTCAACAATCCAGAATCTCTCTGGACTACTTCATGACGAGGCATGATTGATTAAATCATTGGCCATTGGTGACTAAATTTAACCTCCAGTCCCTTTTAGAATCTCTAAAACAAAGTTTTATTTTAGCCGGAGTAAGGACAGCTGCCTGGGGGAAACAGGTCCTTCTCAGGGAAGAACGTGCTCAGGGAAGGAACAGTTTTTACAGAGTTAAATACTTCTTCCCTCTTGTAAAAACTCAAAAGATTGTAGATTAGCATATCATAAAGGAATGCAGGGAGTGGGAGCATTGATTTATATCTCAAGGACGAGATGGGTTTCCCTCAGGCTACATACACCGTCACAAGGCGGTTATACAACGCTTGTGTGGGGCCATAAATCAGGCTTTGGGTTTGAGCAAAGTTTATGTACAATTGGGTTGACTTAGAAAGAAATCTAAAATGGCTTCCCTTGAGCAGGACTTTAGAGAGTTCTTCTGTCATCATAATCAGGAAGCCAATGATTTAAATTGTGCCCGTGGTTGGGGCCACATTTTATGCAGGTCTTTATTTCTTCATATTGAGACCTGGTCACTACATATTGCCAAGTGGAAAACAGCATGGTCCTACTTACCTCAGACTGCATGCTGTACATCTATGACTGCGTACGGTGTAAGTTATGCCTGAAGAACTTAGAGACAGAGAGAAGGGTGTAGAAAGATGGTCACTGTAGCTCTTTTTGGATGGTGGGATTTGGGGTTATCTTGGTCTCACTTATGAAGTCTGAGAGATCAGCCTGTCCCCACCCCATCCTCACACAGCTCCCTGACAATAGCCCCTGGTCCTGCTCCCCTTCAGCTACCTGGCTAACCTGGTCTATGGGGGTACAGTCACACTAGGAAAGAAGGCCATTCAAAGGAGCACAATGGAGATTTTTGCCTATGGAAAGGAAAAGAAAAAAAGTCATTCATTTTATTTTATTTTATTTTTTTAAAGATTGTATTTATTTATTTGACAGACAGAGATCACAAGTAGGCAGAGAGGCAGGCAGCGAGAGAGAGAGAGGGGAAAGCAGGCTCTCTGCGGGGCTCGATCCCAGGACCCTAGGATCATGACCTGAGCTGAAGGCAGAGGCTTTAACCCACTGAGCCACCCAGGAGCCCCAAAAGTCATTCATTTTAATACC